CAGTGGGCGCGGGAATGTGAGGGCGCCAGGACGAACCGCTAGAGGGAGCCCATTTTTCTCCATAAATCCAATTTCCATAATTGTTCCGAATGCACACATTGTGCAGTCACAAATCAACACAGCATCACAAAGTGTAAAGTATGCAAATTTCTGTGTATATTTTAAGTCAAACAGAAACAGAGATACATAGTTCAGGCATGGCCTCCTCTGACATTCACACCAAAACACTTGCCAGATGGAGGAAAAGGCACAATTCCCTGTGTTTTGCCTCATCAGAAATAGCACTCTAAACCCAGCAGGCTACAAAGGCCATTACGATTTGTCCCTAACAAATTCATTTGCATAAACGTGTTGATATTTCATCTGAGAGTTCACCATGGAGCAGCTAACCTTGAGAAATCCCTCTGCCTTGAGTAACTACAAACCAAATGTAACAACCACCTCAAAAAGTGATGGATCAGCAGTGTGTCCCTTTGCAATGAAGGGTACAGATCTTTCCTGGGGAGCAGAGGAGCCCCAGATTTTATGTTTCATACCACAGATGCAGGTTTGCTTCACTTTGCAACTTCCAGCAGCTGAAATGCCCCCAAGATGGGGTTCCGTTACCCCCTTCATACTCCCAGAGCCTCTCCAAGTCCCATCCTGTCACCAGACCTGTTCTCTACTTAGATAACACTTCTCCAAATGGCTCCAACACATACATTTGCCAATGCTTTCATTACAAAAACAAATTAGACAGCCTAAAAGGACTAAAGGATTAAAAATTTGTTCTGATTCCTTCCAGCTAAGGAGCCAGGGAAGGATCCATGTGAGATGTGTGAATAGATGGGCAGCAGTATGGCCTGGCAAAGTCCAGCTGACATTTTTCTGTACCCTCCTCTTCTTTCACTGCATTGCACCCATTGCCCATGTCAACAAGCTCAACTTAGCAGCAAGCCTTGGAAGGATTAATCTCAGGAATAAACAAGCCAAAGCAGAAGTCCAGCCCAAACAGTGAGCAAGGGCCAAGCACATCCACATCAACTCTCAAGTCTTCTCCAGTCCATGGGAGAACAATCTCTGCTCAAGACACTGGGGAGCGGTCACCCATTCAACATCAGTAATCACAGGACACCCTCCATCAGGTCAGAGAAAGCTGGATATCCTCCCCAAAGCATAATATTTCCTGGTGTAGGGTCACTCTCTTCTATCACAAACTCCACCTTGAGCCTAAGATGACCAGCCTTTATCACACTAAAAAGCACACCTAGAGGAGGCATCTCTGCCTCAGTCACCAGAGCAGGACAGCAGCAATGGGGTGATGGTGGCTGTGTAGCAAGAATGGCAGACGGTAAGAATGGAGGCTTGCCACCCCCAGAAGACTCAACAGGAAAGAGAATAACTGGAAGTTGTCAAACTGGTTTCCTACATTTTGTAGCAATCACAGAAAAGGGGTGTGGGTCATTCAGCTGAAGAGCAGGAATATTCTCCAGCACACAGGAAAACTTTAGCAAAGTTTGTACATCTTATGGAAGCAAGTGTTGTAACCCTCCCAAACTCAAGGAGTAAGGGACTCTGCCCCAAGTGCTAGAAACTGTCTTCTAGGCAGATCTTCACCCAAGTCTCTGGTGCACAGCTGTCTGTCAGGATTGCTAACACAAGCAGACACTGCTTTCATGTTTGGGAGTTTTGCCACTGACTTCAAAGTACTGAGATATAACGCCTTGTGTATTCCCTAAACACACTTAATAACAGCACCTGACACATTTAAAGTCTTAGACACGTTAAAGGCATTGTACAACATTAGCAAAAAACCAGGAAGCCCTGTCTAGGTGGTTCATGAGAAATCTGGTAAACCAAGAGTCTATCCCTGAATCAGATGCTTATCTATTAGCCAGCCAATAACTCTGTGACGGCTTCTTCAACTCATCCATACAGCCACAACTCACCAACCTTCTGGTGAGCTGTGGAGACTTTAGGTTATTCATAATCCTCTTAAAATATAACAAAGAATACAGATTAGAAGGTGTCAGGCATGCAGTAAGTGTTCTAAAACCAACACAAACACAGCCATGTCAGCCTGAGTCAGAGCCTGCATCCTGGGAACTCACTGAGCTCCTTTTGCAGTCATGCTCTGGGGATGCAGGCAGTGCAGGGTTTGGCTCCTGGTGCCGGGTTGGTGAGACAGCCACACACCAAACAGTGCCTGGAGCCAGTTCAAAGCAGACAAGAGCAAGGTCAGCCGAGTGTGGCAGCACTGCTTAGGGGGCAAGGTTGTGGGGCTAAGACATGAGTGTTCCGCTTTGCTTCAGGGCAAGCAATGGAAAGAAGGAACAGCTTAGTCACTTTGGAGAAGGAGAAAGTGAAGGGCTTTTGCCTCCAGAGAGTTCAGAAATAAGATAAAAGCATGGTTCATGGGGTAGCTCTTGGGCCTCTGACAACATGGAGAGGGCCACCACCAGGAAACCTCTGCACAGGTCCAACCGGAGACAACACTGAACCGACTTCATCAGCATCTCTTAACTTAGCCGAAAGTTGTTTTATCACAGAATCATCAAGGTTGGAAGAGACCTTCAACATCAGCTAGTCCAACCATCGACCCAGCGCCACCATAAACCCCTCTTATCCATGCCCCCAAGCACCACATCCAGATGCCTCTGGAACACTTCCAAAGATGGTGATTCCACCTCCTCCCTGGACAATTTACTCCAATGCCTGACTACACTTTCAGTAAAGTTTTCTTCTAGTATCTAATCTGAACCTCCCCTGGTGCAACTTAAGGCCATTTCTTCTCATCTTTTCACTTGAGATAAGTCAGAAGAGACCCACCCCAACCTCTCCTGTGTCCATGTGTTTGCATTCACAGGTGTCACGCAGGCATAACCTGACAAGGCTCCAGGCAGATGACGACCTCCATGGTCAGCAAGCTGAACTAATGCCATTGAAACGAGCTTGAAGCAATGACTATTTGGACAAATGTGGAATTATAAACTGTACAATTCTGCACTTAGTACACATGGGTATACTGTGGGAAGGTCTTGACACTCTTCTTTTTGGAGACAACACCACTGGCACCAATCTTTGCACAACTGCTAAAAGGTGCAGATAATAGACTACACTACTTTATCAGGAAGTTTCTGAGGTTGGTATCTATGTACACTGATGTTTTAATTGCACTGGGTAAGTACTACAGCAACAGAAAAGCACATCCCTAACTACATATCAGTCAGGAGGAACGCACAGTAATTACCAATGAAAATCATTCAGTCCGTTAGTTGTTTTAAATACCAGGCTAATAGTATCAGCAGCAGGTTTACGTGTGGATCCTTCTTCCCCTCAAGCACTTCATATTACTTTCCGTGCTGTATTCCTCAAGTTTTCACAGCATTTATATACAGAGTTTCCCTGTTCACAGTAACAGCCAGAGATAACTGGTTGGATACCTACAATTTTAACTACTGTTGCTTGACACTGCCAGCCTATACGCTCATAGCAACAAACAGCAGGAAACAGAACCCCTGGATCCTAGAAATCTGCGTCCTGTCACTGTTTGAACCTTAACAATCTGCAGATACAAGATGTTTTACTCTCTGCTAACCTGCGACTTGTGATACTTGTAACGCTATGCGATACTCGTAACCACAGCTCCTGCGAGCCTCAGTGACTGCCCCTGTAGTACTATCCCTGTGTACCACGCTGCAGCCACTTCCACCAGTGTTTGTAAACATTTTGTCTTCCAAGAACTTTCCACTTGAAACAGGACTGCTAATGTATTCACATGCGTAATAATTAGATGCAAATTTAGAAAAAGCCACTTTCTTGCTCAACTGAATTACTATTCTATTAATAGCGATGTTCACGTTATTTTGAAACTCCCCACTGTTCAAACTTGAAGGACTGCTCGTTTTACTTTGGAAATTTACTCTCAGTTGTAACTTGACAAAGAAAGTATTAATTTGTTCAAATTTATGAGACATATATATGCTTCAGCCTTTTCCATTCATAGGTCAGATAACAAATTGGTTTCTCTGAAAAACTACCCAATGAAATATTCAACATAAGGCATTCTGTAAGCTTAGATGTGCACTACAAACTGCTGTTTTACTGGGGTGTCCCTGTAGGTTGGCTCTGGCACGTACGCCTGCATGTTTTATTCTTTGTCTGAAGGAGGAAGCTCCCACAAGTGAAAAGAAAGCTCTTGGATATGGGTCACAAGTTGGTGTATCAAAACTTAGATGAGAATTTTAAAAAAAATCTACAACACACCAGCATATTTTCCCCAAGATTTCAGGATGGGGAGAAAAAAAAAAAAAAAAACCAAAAAAAAACCACGAAAAAAAAACAAACCCACAAACTCAACATAAACCAGACCTTGAATATTCTTTGCTATTTCACTGGTTTCTGCAAAGAGGAGAAAATCAAGATTTGTCCAAAGCCAGACCGAAGCCAAGAAGACAAACTGATGTATGTTGCACGGTTTTCCTCTGCACTTGGCATGTTTGACACAGTCATTTTACTCCTGCTTCGTTTTTATCAAGTGACAAATACCATTTATACGTTTGTTCCCTATCCTGAAGAAGATTAAAAGAAATCCATTCCTCCTCATAACCTTGTGGCATTTTCCAGTTCTGACACCAAAACGCATTACAGTCTGATTATCCCCATTTCGGAACCAAACCCCTGAAACCGTGCGTACTCAATTGTACTCAAAAGAGAAGCAACGAGACAATGAGAAAAAGAACGACCACTGAACACTTGGTGCGACCACCCCCTCTCACAGCTTCGCTCGCATCGCCACCACCGGGGAGACCCTTTCCAGCCCGGGGGTGCTCCAAGGGGCGAAGGGAGCCCGCCCCTCGGGGAAACCTCTCGGGTCCGACTTCTCGCCGCCCACGACCCGAGACAAACTCCAGCGGCGGGCAGGAGCGCACCCCCGCCCCGCGGCACCCCGAGCCTTGCGGGGATCCCCCCGCGGGCTGCCCCGGCCGGCCGCCCCCCGCACACTCCTCCGCGGCACTCACCGGAGATCTCGGCCTGGGGCACGCCGCTGAGGCTGAAGCCCTTGGCCCCATACAGCTGCCGGACCTCGGAGCAGCTCCTCGCCTTGCTGCCGCTGTCACCGCGAGCCGGGGCGGAGGCGACACACAGCAGCCAAAATCCCCACGGGAAGACGCGCATCCTTCTCCGCTGGCCCCGCCACCTGCCGTGCGAAGGGCAAAGCCAAGGTCCCGCGGCGGGGAGGCGGCCGGGGGGGCGCAGGGTGCGGCCCCCTCCGCGGGCAGCCCCGGCGGGACGGCGGGCGAGGGCGGCGGAGCCCCGGCTGCCCGCGGTGTGCGGGGAAGGCGCCGGCGAGTTCAGCCCGGACGCCGCCGCGGCTCGGGCGGAGGGGGCAGAGATCCAAGTTCGGCCGCGCCGCTTCAAAGCCCCGGAGCGTGAGCGCGCAGAGGGCTTTTGTTCTTAGCGCGGCTGCATCCCCGGGCAGTCCCGCCGCGATGCTGCGGCGCCGCCGGGCCGGGCGGAGCGCGGCGGGGCGGGGCGCGGGGCGGGCTGCGGGGCTGCACCCGCGGCGGGGCCGGGCTGGGCTGGGCCGGGCTGGGCTGGGCTGTGCCGGCACCGCTCCACCTGCGCGGAGCGGGCGGCGGGGCGGCTCCGAGCGAGGCAGGGCTTCCCCCGCCGGACGTGGCATCACACGGCCCCGCGCCAATCCCGCGCGGGGCGCAGCCCCCGCCCCGCCCCGCGCCCCCGCCGCGGGCGCTGCGCAGCGCCCGCACCCGCCGGGCCGGGGCGAGGAGCACCCCGGAGCCTCCCCGGGCAGGGCAGGGCTCCGACCAGCTCGGGGGCGCTGGCAGCACTCGAGGGGCCGCACGCCGTCCTTCGGGAAGGACGCGGTGACAACGCGCATCAAACCCGTCTTTGTCTACGGCGTGGTACGGGTGGTCGACCTGAGGACCCCGAGTCCCCCAAGGCGGTGGAAAAACAGCCGTATAGAGGACTTAAATTATACCACACTTTGCCAGACCGGCGAGTAGAAAGCATCTCAGCTGAGAGCCTGAGAGTCCCAGCCAGGTCCTGGCGAGGCTTAAAGTGCCCCTCTAAGAACACCTGCGGAAAGAGAGGCGATTTTCAACCACACGTTCTCAGCTTTGGAGTTTAGTTCCTACAGCAGCCTATCAGCTCTTGAAACTGGTGTTCTGCAGCTCCACCAGCCGCGTTTTAAACTGTTTCCCACAGAACTGAGGCATCTGTGATCATCTGTGTGTGTCAAGACAATGCCCGTGTGCTTCCCCCAAATGAGCTTGCAGGCTTTTGGCCAGCATCTAACGTTTCACAACAGACAGAGGATGCAAAGATCACTTCTAAGAGCAGCTGTTTTCTGTGGAAAAAAAAGAGGAAAACTGCCCCTGCTGAAGCATTTGGATGAGCTTACACCTTACAAGACAGTAGAAACCCCATCACTGTGCCCCCCAAAAACCCAGCAAAATTTATCAGAGACTATACTTTTTGGACTAGGCACTGAGACATGTAAAAATATGTGGAAAACAGGCATTGTTCATCTCACTGCTTCAGAACTGCTTGTTCTCCTGGGGAATGAGTAAGGGACAAGTAAGTGACAGCAAAGTGGGAGCCCCGGGGAGTGGCAGTAGGGATGAGGAAAGTTGTTGGGTTTCCTATGAAATCGCCTAATGATTTCCTATTAAATCTTCCTAATTAGATTCATCTATGAGATACGACAAAGCAGATTAAGAGGATCTAACCGCAAAGGCAGGCAGAATTTTGTAATGAAGATCATGACTAAGGTGACACATCATTACCACCAGAAGTTAAAAGCTATGAGTCAGACACACCCCAATACACTCCAGAATCTCATTCCTTCAGAGATGACATCGTGCCTTTTTGGCCTCTTGCTGCACCTCTCAGTGATGCACAGTTTAGAAACCCAAGGCTTACAGCATCCCAGAAACCTGGTACACCTCAGCCTGCAGCTTGCTTTGTGAGCTTTCTGGAATGTGAAAATAGATCTTGTTCATTGAAATATGTGGGGAAAACATTTACCACGGATGATGCGAAATTTGACCTACCCTATTTTCAAATGGGAACTCTTTTGTAAATGCAGCAGTACTGCACACATAGGAGGTTACCAAGTACAATATGTGGCACGAGGTTATTTCAGCCATTACTCCTGGGGATTTATTCTAATTTTATAGTCATAACCCTTTCCTCACCCTTGGCTTTGTAAACATCACTTGAAGACCTATGTCTGACCACAATAACACCAGAAAATAACCAGCAGAGGAAGAATCTGTACATATATTGCCGTGACTAGAGGAACACTAGGATCTTGGTTCCTCCTTCTGGAAAATCAAAGGGAAAATCAAATACTTACAGACACACAATTAACAACAGTCTCATTTGGGTCTGTTGAGGGGAATGAGCTCCAGGAATGCAAACTCCAAAGAGACAAAGTACTTGATAGAGAAGAAAGGCAGAGTCATAAACCTTTTATCTGCTCTGGCTGCTACAGAATGACTTGGGGTGGGTGACACAGGGGACCAAAGCAGTACCTTTTAATTTCATCTTTTTCTTCTCAAAGCCCGGGGTTGGATACTTGCTGCCGTTGTATATTGAGGGCTTGCTTCCAGCTCTGCCCTAAGTGACCCTGGGGAAGCTGTCTGTGAGCTATGGCTGCACCCCAGGGTTTCAGCACAAAGCCCTCAGCACTCATACAGCTGCTGAAGTGCACGGAAACACTGACTGCTGGCAGGGAAAGAATTGGGACCAAAACCCTTGGGCTTTGGCCTTGGAATCGTCCCCTGAGCTATGGATCATTTCACAGGCCAAAGTATTTCCCTTCTTCATATACATCTCACTTCCCCAAGCTGGGTGACAACAGTGCCAGCGGCAGGGACTAAAGTCATGTCATTCCTGATAAAATCCTGAGAGACCACAGCACACACTCTGCCTGTTCACATGCACGCTGTGGTTCCCCCAGTGACACACTAGGCTACCAACTGCCAGCACAGATCAGACTGCCAGCTCCCAAGCACTTTTCAGGAGCTACAAATGAAGAACAAGCTTTGCTGCAAACCTCCCTGATTAAGTGACCATCAGCAGATCACTTATCTCCTAAACAGGGATAAGAGTGCTTCCTACCTAACCACCTGCCCGTGAGATAGAATCATAGAATCAACTGAGCTGGAAGATGCTCACATACTATCAGAATGAGAAGCTTATAAGTAGACAAATTAAAAATAAACCTGAGCTGACATGAGCTCTTCAACAGAGAAGCTTTTTGCAAGTCTATACAGGATCCAATCCTGAGTAAACAAATCTTAAATGATGAGGCACATCTATTTTGCTGTTACGTTTGTATGCACTCACAGGCTTTGACCCAGGTCCATTTAAAGTAAACAGAAATAAACATCCTCAAAGTGTCATGATGAAAATGCATTTTTGGCATCCATTATAAATTTGATTGTGTGTATCTGAGGATCAGATTCAGTTTCTGAACGTTCTCAGCTAAGACAATAGAGCTTGGCAAAAATTGAAAAAAAAAACCCACTCTCCAAAAACAGGCAGAAAGAACTAGAACTGGGGAAGATAAGAAAAAGAACATTGAAACACAAAGATGAGTAGACAAAATGCAGAGGAGGAGGAAAGCAAACAGCCAGCCAAGCAAGATAGCCAAATGAAGACAGAAAATCCATCCTGCTCTGGAGATCACCTCTTGACAGTCCAGACAAAAAGCACTGCCCACTGAAAAGCTGATCCAGGCATTATGAACTGAGAATGATGAAGAAGAGCCAAATCATCTGGCACAAGTTGGGAAAGCTACCATTTAAAAACAAGAGGTGAACAGAGGCTTTCTACAACCTCAGCTTTCACAGGGCTATCTTGTTTTTTATCACTTTCCAAAAGTTTCACAATGCAGTGGACATTGCGTCTCTTTTTCATCTTGATGCAAGTCAAGAACTGTACAGGCAGCAAGGCAATTACACTCACCAGACCTCCAGCTGATTCCAAAATGGACCTATGCTGAGTTACAGCAATATGGAGTCTGACAGGAAAACCAGAACAGTAAAAACCCCAGACAACCTTATCAAATTGCAATGTATCTTTGATGCCACAGAAAAGAATAGAAGATTCCCACTTGAATTCAGTGGTGTTTCTGCTTTCTTCTCTGTGCATCGAATACAGAGTTTGCACTGCCTGGGAGTGGGGAGGAAAAGGAGATTGGCAAAGCCTAAGTTGTCTTGGTTTCCTTGCTCTTGCCATTGTTATGTAATGAAGCCCTTGGCCCATCCCCTTAGCCAGTTTTATGACACGTTTGATTCTGTGGCAACATCAACAAATCTGGCACCTTTAGACAAAAAATCTTCATCAAAGTAGGAGTATCTCAGTGCCTTTTCTGCCCATGTCCTTTAACCTCTGCAGTAGCTGTCTCCCACAGGAGTCAAGAAAGCCCTTCCCCTGCTCCCTGCCCCCCCAACATTGGCTGGTGTTCAGCAGAAGCTGGACGTGTGTTTCGCTGTATCAAATCTAATTAAGTTACTCAGAGGATTTACTCGATTACACTTCACTATGTACAGCCATTTACTTCTTCACTGGATTTTCCTTCATTAGAAATCTGGCATCTCCTCCTCCCCTCTGCACACATTCCCCCGTTGAGCTTTTCTGACATGCGCAAGCAGCACGTGTCTGGTTGTTTTGATCACCAAAAATATCAGATCAGTTCCTCTGAACTCCTGGAACATCTATGTACAACTGCCAAATCCAGCTTGATCTCAGTTGACTTTGTAAGATGCCATTTGCCTTCCCGAAATACTAAGACTTGTTGGGATTTGTGTGTCCAGATTAATTAATCAGGAACATTGTTTAATAGATGTACAGAGCTGGGGATCCTTCCAAGTCCTTGAGTGAGCCAGATTCAGGCCCCAGGGCAAGGACAATCACAATCCTGGCTGTGAGGAACAGAGTGGGAGTGGCTGGACTGAGGACAAGTGCAGCAGGGTACACCAGAGCTGGGTCAACCTGCTGTTCAACCCTTGGGTGGGACAGACCAATGCTTCATTTCCCCATGTGTGGCTCATACTCTGCAGAGAAAGATTAGGAATAACTAGGTAATTTCAGGCAGAGAATCTGGCTAATGCAGGTAATTGCCACTCTGTGCTGTATTTTGAATTGAATAACCCAATTTTACAGCAGCAAGTTAAAGGAATGTATTGCTCTAATGACCTCCTACAAATGACTCCACCCTGCAGGACTGTACTTGTCTTATATCTGAGTCAGAGATTTCCCAGTAGAAAGAAGTCTTAAAGGCCAAAAAATAAATAAATGCCATAAACTTATTAGAGAAACTACTGCTAATTGGATCTGCCCCAGGAAGTACATTTCTTCTTTTCTGGACACTTTCAATTAAGCTTTTTCCATTCCCAGCT